CCCGCGAGAGCCTTGATTTCCCCTCTCCGGCCTCTCGTATCCCACACCCGGCCGTGGGTGCTCGCGTGGCCGCGGGTGCTCGCCTAGGCGTGGGTGCTCACCCATTTCTCTGCCTCTCCCAGGCCAACCTGGTGGCGGCTTTTGAGCAGAGCCTGGTGAGCATGACATCCCGCCTGCGGCACTTGGCTGAGACCGCTGAGGAGAAGGTGGGTGCTGTGGGGGTGCCAAGGGGGCCCTGGGGGGCACTGGTGGTGCGGGAGGGTGCTCATGGGGCTGGGGGATGCTGGGCTTGGGTGAGCCTGCTGCGGCACTGCCCGCCCAAAGGGTGCTCCCGGGTGGGCCCTGTGCCATTGGAACGTGCTCCATGGTTCCCGGCTGTGCTCCCCCAGGACACGGAGCTGCTGGACCTGCGAGAGACCATCGACTTCCTGAAGAAGAAGAACTCGGAGGCCCAAGCTGTCATCCAGGGCGCCCTGAATGGCACCGATGTCGCCCCCAAAGGTAAGGCATGGCTCGCCACCCCCGCACTGGGTGGGTTTGCAGCCCTTCCTGAGCCCCTCGCCCAAGCCCAGCTGGGCTGCTCCTGCCCGGGGCTGGCACAGGGCCCCAGGGCTCCCCTTGCTCCAGTGGGATGCTCAGACGGGAGGCAGGGTCCCCCGGGCAGCAGCTCTTCCCCTCCTGGGACCCCTGAGCATCTGGTCAGACGGCCAGAGCTGTCACTGCAGGAGATCTCGGTGCTGGTGCCTGGGGGTGACGGGATGGTCGTCCTCCCCAGGATACCTCTTCACCGAGCCCTTTGCCAGCAGCCCAGTTTTGGCTGCTGGTCCTGGCTTTGTTCCCATGAGTGCTGTTTCTAGCCCTGAAACACCAATGTGAGTGCAGGGTGCTGGCAGGGAGGTGGCCTGGGGCAGCAGCAGAAGGATGTGTGCTCTGGGGTTTGGGGTCACTGTCCCAAATGGCAGCGCCTGTGTGGTGTCTGAGCCCCGCCTCACCTTACGAGGTGGCTCCGAGAGCTCAGAAGGTGTTTGGGTGGGAGAAGGGAAGGGGTGCAGGGAGGAGAGTGCAGGTGGCTCTGGCATTGGGGCAGATGCAGTTTGCTGATACCTCCTTTCCTGGTGTCTCCTGCTTTTCTCGCTGGCCCCAGAGCTGCGCATCAAGCGGCAGAACTCCTCTGACAGTATCTCCAGCCTCAACAGCATCACCAGCCACTCCAGCATCGGCAGCAGCAAGGATGCTGACGCCAAGAAGAAGAAGAAGAAGAGCTGGGTGGGTTGGATGAGGCGCTGGGAGGAGGAGCGGGGCTTGGGGAGCTGCTGGCAGGGTCTGGCCAGGGTCAGCCCCACGAGCCAGCTGCTCTCGGCCTACCTTGGCATTGTGGTGCTGGTCCCCTGTGTCCCCTGGGGACAGCACTGGCAAGGAGCATGTAGCCACCATGGATCTGTGTCTTGATGTGCTGGCCAGGACTTCTCCAGCCCCTCTGGGAGTTTTGCAGCCCTGGTCCTGCATGCCTGCACCCTTGTGGTTTCCCCACGTCTCCCCTCTGCCCATGTGGGGAGCCAGACACCTTGGCCAGGCAGCCCCTTCCCTGCACCAAGCAGCTCCAAGCTGGACGTGTGATTAAGTCTTGCTTTGTTTTGTTTCTCTCCCCCTATGCTGACCTCAACCCTTTTTTTCCAGGTGTACGAGGTAAGTCCTACACCGTCCCCTCCACCCCATGCCGTGCCCAGCCAGGGCCCTTGCTCCATTTTGTGGGACTGTGCTCATAACACTACCCATCCCATCCATCCCACTGGCACTAACCCCCAGCACGGGCCATCCCAGGGCCCCCAGCCAGGCTGCGCACACCTTGGCTGCTTCCTTGGATGTTAAGGCCAAAACATGCACCCACACAGAGGGGCTGAACTGCCCCGAGCAGCCCTGAGGCAGCAGGAAGGGCTTGGATGGGGACCTGTCCCACAGATGGGGACAGCCCTTTCCTGGCCCGGGGAATGCAGGCACTCTCCTGGCTCCCTGTAGCCAGATCTTTTGGGATGGGGACCCCGCTGCACCCCTGCCTGTGGCACCGGGGCATGGTGCTGCCCATCTCCACATTGCCAGGGCTGGCCTGATGTGGCCCCAAGTGGCTCTGTCCCCGTCAGGACCCACATGGGTCCCAGTGCTCCCCTGCTCTCCCGCCATCAGCAGAGCCCAACACCCGCTTGGTTTTTTTATGCTGAAATGCAACGCTTTCGCTGTTGGGGACACACCAGACCCGCCTGCCTGGTGCCTCTGGGAGCTGGGCCGGATCTTGCCTGTTCTCCATCCCCTCTTCCTCCCATCTCCCCTCAGAGCAGGCCCTGGCTCTCCAGGGGACACAGGGTGAGCCCCGGGTGCCCTCCTGCTGCTCTCCCGCAGGCTGGTGGCACTTAAGCGGGAGCCAGGCCTGGTTTGGCCCCTGTGCAGTGTCCATCCGCCCTCCCTGGCCTCGGCACGCCGCTCACCTGCTCACTGCTGTGTGTGTGCTGTGTGCATGCTGCATGCCCGGCCGGGACCCCGGTGACATCTCGTGGGGGTTGACTGGCCCTCTGCCCTTCCAGGAGGACCCCACAGGGCGGAGGGGGGTGTGGGCTGAAATTGTCCCCTTGCACCAGGACCACGGCCCTGCAGCGGCTGGGGGGGGGGC